ATGAGTGTCTTCGGTAAATTATTTATTTCTTCTTTTTGGTTTTGTTCTGCAACTAAAATATTTAAAAACTATTTTCTTCAATAAAAATAGGACAAAATGTTAAAAGAGCAATGAACAACAGCATCATGAATACTACTATTAACATTTACAAGGACATATTCATACCTTTTATGAGAATTAGATAGGTATCAAATTCTTTATTTTCATAATTTGCCACTTCAATGCGAGAGACTTTTACTTGCATTTTTTTTAAGGTAGACAAATAAAGTTGATAGGCTGATATATTTGATTTTTTATTATCCAAAACAGCAATTAAAGCTTTCCCTTCAAGTTGACTTACTAAAAAATAAAACTCACGTAAGCCAGCAACTTCTCTCAAAATAACATAAAAATTTTTAGAGTTTAAACCATTTTGTAAAAATAGCCTTTACCTCAACTTCAATCATATTCATAAAAAAAATAATGAAGAATACTTTAATTAATAAACAAAATTAAGTTGATTTATGTGGAAATACATTCTATAAAATTTTATTTACTTTTGACAAAAAAATTATGTTTTTAATAGCTTTCATACTTATTACCATTGCCTGTTTTTTAGGTTTATACAAGATGTTTGCAAAAGCAGGTATCCCTGCTTGGAAAGCACTTATTCCTATATATAATGGTTTACTGATTTCCAAGTTATATATCAACGCAAAGGATTTTTAAATATAGTAAATGCTATATTATTGGGGGTTATCCCTATTTTAATGTTTTTGCTATGCTTTGTTATTTCTTAGACATGGCAAAATTGTTTGGAAAATTATCATTTAAAGAAAGCATTTACAGCACTATTTTTTGTTTTATCTATTTACCTTATTTAGGATTCTCAAATGAAGGAATCATACAAAGGACATGAAGTAGTTCGCGCCTATCATACAAAAAGACTATTATACGCTGCAGTTGGTTTGATGATATTTTGTGTATGCTGTTATTTTGGTTTCTATTATTCATACTTTTGTTTTTTTCAACCTTATGTCATCCCAACACCTTCTATGGACGCTCTTTACTCATTAATGATTTTTTATTTGTAAGTAAATTTAGCTATGGAGAACGTATGCCCAATACACCTCTGGGTTTCTTACCATTCATGCACCATACAACACCTCTTTTTGGAACAAAGTGTCCTATTCCACCATGATAGAAAATTTCCATATATTAGATATTTTAAAAAAGAAGTAAAAAGCGTAAATGATGTTGTTGTATTTAATTCCCTGTGGGCGATACAGTCATCAATAGAGATGAGTTTCAAAGTGCAATTACACTTCATTACCAAGTTTGTAGAGATATGGGCAGGAGATGCTGTTTTAAATAACCTGATGAATATCGCTTACAAGGCATACGCCCCCTGTTGATAAAAGTGAGAAAATTTTATCTAAAGTCGCAGGCAGTAGCTGTTGCAGGAGATACCTTAAAAATTATAAATGGTATTATACATATTAATAATATAGCACAAAACACCATTGGAAGATGAGGAATTATGTTATTATGTTTTTATTCATCCTAATACCTACATAGATAATGATTTATTAAAAGAATCCTTAGATATGGATATTAGATCATCCAATTGATAATAACTGTTATATCGTGTAATGGCAAACTCATCATCAAATAGAAGCACTTAAAAATTATTCCTTTGTAGCAAAAATTAGTACAACTTATTATTGATTGGACATGGACACTAAAAATACATATGAATTTCATACCTTATACATATGAAAAAAAAAAAAAAAAATTTTTAACTTGTATTTTACCCATATGATAGCACCATTATAAATGGACAAGAGACAATTTTGGTCCTATATGGATTCCTAAAGAGGTGTTAGCCATAGCTTTAAATCCTACTAATATATAGCTTTATATGGGAGATGTATTAGCACGTATGAAAACAATAGTTTAGACATTAGAGATGGCAAATATTTTATTAATGGGCAAGAGGCTTCAAGCTATACTCTTTGTAAAATGGATTAATTATTGTAGATGATGGGAGATAATAGACACAATTCATTAGACTCTCGTTATTGGGCATTTGTACCCGAAGATCATATTGTGGGCAAAGCAATTCTAATATGGTTTAGTTGGGAAAATGGTATTAGATGGAATAGGCTGTTCTTAAGACTATCAAATAATAGAAGTCTTTTTTTATTGGAACTTTTATCAAGCCTTAAAATAATATAGTTTATATATTCTTTTTCTTAAACTTATGTTTATTAGATAAAGATTTTAAAGAGGTTTGCCCAACAGCATCAATAAATCCAATATCAGTATTTGTTTTTGGTACTACATGTTTGAGATAGTATTAGCTATTTCTTTTAAATTTCTTTTTGCAATAGGAACAGATAAAACTTTGTTTGACCTGAGCTACTGGCAAGGTATAGAAAATTTGTAGAACTATTGGATTGATAAATTAATACTTTTTTTAAGATATCTTTTTTTTGCAAGACTAAACTTTTCCTCTGGTGTCATAATAGTATTTGCATTTTTAGGAAAGTCTTGCTCAAACTTTCTAAATATACATTTTAATTCAATAAGTTTATTTAAGCAACATTTTAGCCTCCCACATTGACCAGTGAGCTTTGAGGAAATTTAATACTTAATGATTGATACCTTGCCATATTGATATTGACAGATTCAAAATCTGTAAGCCATACACTACAACAAAGCTCTCGCCCACAACTACCAATACCTCCAATTTGGCAGCTCTTGACGAGCTCCTATTTGCTTCATTTCTACTTTTACAATAAAATGTTCTGGCACTAGGCTTTATTAATTCTCTAAAATCTACCCGTTCATCAGCAATATAATAAAAAGTAGCTTTTTTTAGCATCTGCTTGTAATTCAACTTCCGAGATTTTCATATCTAAGTTAAGTTGTTTTGCCAAAACTCTGGATTCTATGAGAATACTTTTTTCTTTTACTTTATTTTTTCTAAGTTGCTCCAAATCAGTTTCTCATCGGCAAGGCGAATTATCTTTTTAATGTTCTCAGAATTGGGAACAATATTATTTTTTTTCATTTGCTTTCTTACCAAAGGACCTGTAAGGGTTTCACTGACACCCATATCATAACCTATATACTACTTTCTACAATGACCAGTTTTTTTTGAGTATTGAGTAATTATCTTTTTTTTGTTACTTCAAAGAAATCTTTCCTACTTCCTTGATTAAAGGAAACCTCCACATAAGGAAAAAAAACTGCCATCATCTAAGGGAATATTTGAAAGCCAATTTTGAGTATCTAATTTTCTATTACTACAACCACATTGTGTAGATTTATTGCTACAACCATTACAGCCCATATATTTTCTAATATTTTAAAGTACCACAATTAGTATTTTGAACACTAATTTTTTTTATTTTTTGAAGTATTCAATAAAATACCATTATAATAGTAAGCTATTTTATTTAATACTAAGATTTTACATACATTAGAGCTTTTCAAAATATAAGTTCTAATTTAATTCTTAGGACAAAGATACATAAAAATAAGTAAATATTCATAAGTATGTGGGATGATATGCTTTTTTGCTGATAGTACAACCTAATGAGTATGGGCATGAAATAAAATTTTTGAATGTGCATTTTGCTCTATATGTAAAATACTTTTTTCAAGGATTTCAACCATATGTAGCCATGTTGAAATTAGATGTAAAAGAAAGCATTTTTTTTATTAAAGAAAATTCTTTTGAATGTTGTACATTATCTTTATTGTCTTTTGTAAAAAGCTGCAATAAAAGCATTTTTTTCTATGATGCCTAAGCATATACATCAATAGGTATTTTTGTTTTTCTGCTTCCTAAATGCTCTATTGACTCAATACATTGCATATGACTTGCAGGACCTTTAATAAAACTTGCATCTAATAATTTTATCAATATAATCAAATGTACATACTTGCAACTTTGTAGTTCCTTACAATAGATAATATTTCTCAAATTTACCTTGATTTTAAATAATATAGCATCTATTTCTTTGGGAATCAAGTGTGCTTTTTTCATGTAGATATTTAAAAATATCTGCATCTTGTGGCAAAGGTATATTGATAGGAAGCACAACGACTGATAATGGTAGGCAATTATATTTTTTTTCATTTGCTGTAATCATAAAAAAATAAGTATTCTTTGGGGGCTCTTCAATCAATTTTAATAATTTGTTCCCTTCTTTTCCCAAATATTCAGCCATCCAAATAATCATAATTTTAAAAAGGCGACTCATAGCTTTTTAAAGATAATGCTTGTATGTGATTTCTATTACATTCGTCAACACTAATATTGCCTTGCTTATTTTCAGCATTTAATCGGTTGAGCCAATCAAAAACATTTTTATAAATCTCTGTACTTAAAAAAATTTCTCCATTCTTTAATATAGTTGTCAATACTTGTTGTTTATGCTTTTTTTTATCCATAATAACTAGGATACGAAAAATGAATATCTGGGTGAACAACGTTGATTTGCTTTTATTCACAGCTGGCACATTCTCCACAAGCCTTCTTTTATAGTTGGATTTGTTTAATTCTGGATCTCACACATTAAATATTGTGTAAGGCATAATACAAAAGGGCAAAGCCCCCATTGCCATTATGTCTTTAAATAAAATAGCATGGACTTAATCTATTGTTTTGTTTATAGTTTGAATACAATGATTACACAATCTCTTGATTTCCTATTAAATCTGAAAACTTCATTTTACAAAAGTAAAGCTGCTAAATTATAATATCATTTGTCTGTGGGATATTAATATTATTCATCAGCCTTAGTTAACACCCATTACCCCCCCCCCCCCCCCCCCCCCCCCCCCCCCCCCCCCCCCCCCCCCCCCCCCCCCCCCCCCCCCCCCCCCCCCCCCCCCCCCCCCATAGTAGACATTACAAGATTATGGTTTAAGGCGTGATGTTACTTGGGTTTTTATATATGTTCAAGTACTTCCATTTTCTTGGATACTCCATTTGCCGAGTACAAAATTTACTTGTTGGCCTTTTTTGAATTATTCCCAATGCCACATCTCAATCTTGGATATTCTTTACTGGATAAACATTCTTCAATATTTTTTAATCCATTATGTCCTCCATGACTACCAGAAGTCCTTAGTTTAATCTTTCCAAAGGGAATATTTAAATCATCCACAATAACAACAACATTTTGAATATTTATATTTTCTTTTTGGATATAGTACCTTAGTGCCTCACCACTTAAATTCATATAAGTAGTAGGTTTTTATAGCAATAATTTTTCCTACTTTTGAAATGGAAAAAAAACACCTTGATATATCGGCAAGTCTACTATGTTCCCAATGTGCATGATGATTTTTGACAAAATATTCTATACTTTCAAATCCAAATATTATTGCCTTGTCTGTTCATACTCAATGCCAATATTTCCAAGACAAACAAATAGAAATTTTTGCATAAATACGTAATACATTAAATATTAAAATTGGGCATTTGATGAGGATAAAGTCTTCTTCTAACTTTATTTTTGTTTTTTTAAATGCTAATAAAGTATCGTTCTACATCTTCATCAGTATGTACAGCTGTGGGTATAATTCTATAAATAATTTGCGCTTTTGGCGGCGCGCGCTCGCTCTAAGTGAACTAGGCGATAAAGTAACAATAGAAACAAAAGATTCTATAATTTTCTCTCAAATCAAAAGCCAATTTGTGCAGATTGCTCTACACCTCCTTGCATTTAAAATGGGGGTTACTGGAAACATTATTGTGTTTTCAATTAAGCCTAATGTTTTATAAATCCCCTCTTGCAATTTATTAACTATATACATCAATTTTGTTTTTTTAAGCTGGGGCTGTGTTTGATAATTTCTATACGTTTGAGCATACCTTCCACTATAACCAAAGGTAAAGATTTGGCATTAAATTGAGAAGCGTACATTGTAGCGTAAAAAGAAGAAATTATATTTTTTGGTCCACTAATAAAAGCTCCAATTACTACCATAGATTTTACAAAGGTTGAAAAATATAAATCTACTTCCTGTTGACAATATGTTGCTCTTGGTCAGTACTCAGCACATGTCTTGGACCACATATATCCAAAGCCATGGGCATCATCAAAATTAATCTAAAAGGATATGTTTTTTTAAAGCCGCATTTCTAGTTGCAATAATTCCTTGATTTTGCCCAGACGTCTCATGCCAAATACAACCGTCTGTAAATTTACAAAACCCCTCCGCCTTGTTTTTCTTGCTAATCGTGTTGTCGCTCTAATTGTTTTTTACAATCTTCAATATCATTGTGTTTTAAAGGCAAAGCGATAACCTATATGTAATCTCATACCATCTCAATTAGGCAAGCATGAGATTCTGCATCATATACAACTACATCTGCTTTTTGATAATATAGCATCTATACAGCTCCTAATACCTTGATAACCAAAATTCAATAATAATGTATCTTCTCGGAGCGCTACAAACTTGCGCGCAGCTCAATACAGCTTCCAATTCATCATGTTTATCGGTATTGCCACTAAGCATTCTTGCACCCATAGGGTTTCCCATACCATATTTTCTTGTTGCCTTCGGTATCTGCGGCTCTTACTTCTGGATGGTTTACTAATCCCATGTAATTATTTAAACTCCATACAATCACATCCTTCCTCTTAAACTTCATTATGAGGACCCAACTCACCTTCTTTAATTTAGGAAAAAAAAATAAAATATTCATGTGCAATATTGTAGTTACAAATAGGTCCCATTTGTTCAGGAAGCCTTTCAAAAATATCTTTTAGCATAAAAATATATAAAATTAAAAATGCATAAAATTTACAATTAATATTAACTTTTTTAATACATCCTTTGAATAAAAAATTTATAATGAGGAAATTATATTTTTTAAAAAAATATTCCACATCACAATGCCTTGATGCAATGGAAGCATTTAAAGAATGTTTCATTCCCTCTTGTGGAATTTCAATGGTATAATGACAATGTAATAAGGTTTCTTTACTGACTCCTTTGACTTCATTCCCTATAATGAAGACGCTATATTTTTTTTTATCCCAAAGTAAAATCGCTTGCCAACAATCTGGCTATTGCTGGTCTTGCTCAATAGCAACAATGGTATAAATTTCGTTTTTTTGTGCCTCTTTATACTTCTTATAATATCAGGGTCATTAATGACCATACAATAACAGCACATCAGTAGCACCCAAGGCCTGTCTTTTTCAATATCTCGGTGGTGTGGTGGACAAGGTGTTGTACAACTCCTACACAGTTATAATCTTCACTTGATTTGAAAAGCGCATTTTCAGCTGTTCTAGAATATAATGCCTTACATTATCGCCATAGAACGAATATTTTTCTAAAAATGGATATTGCACAGGTATTGTGTTTGCTTGTAAGGTATCCTGCTATGCTTTTTCTATGCAGCTTCTTTCATTGATAATTAATTGAATATTGGCATTTAAAATTTTTAGGCTAATGAAAAGTTATTAAAAAATTGATGTGTATTTGTATATGGATAATACCAAAATTCTTTTTGGAAAAGATGGCAAGGAATCACAAACTAAATATCTATGAAATGCATTGTCCATATTTCAGCATACCATTCACCACACGCTTGTCTATTCTTTCGTGTAGATTATCTTTGTGGAAAAAAGTTTTTCTAAAACAACATTGTAAGTCTTTGTCTACTATTATTTTGTATGTTCATATATGCACAAATAATTTTTTTTCTACATTGTTTTGATATTTATCAATGCTTTTATTTTTGAATTTGTCCTAATATAATAAGATAATTGTGGATTGTTTTTTGTATTATATTCTTGGTATGCCCTTTTCTAAGGTCAAAAAGTGTCATCATTAACATTGGGAGCATCCTTTTGGTTGTTTAATACGCTCATCTATTAAAAAAATTATATCCCTTGTAAAATATCTTCGCTTTCCCCTGACTACATATATTTTGATTAATATTACCTTCTTCTTGTGGATGGACATTTTGGTAAAGGTAATTTCTAAAAAAATATAATAGGATAATGGATATGGGTATGGTCCAAAGTAGTATTTTTTACTCAACGAAACAGGGCCAATAATTGTTTTAAATTTTTATTTTTCAAACCACCCACACCCCATTTATTTTTGTTTTTTTTGTTTTGTTTTTTTGTTCAAGTGTAGACATGTCACTATCAATTTCTTTGAGCTAGCAAGGAGTTCTGGCGGGATATCGAAACATAGATGACGCAATGGGCAGATGATCGATGTGTGTGTGTCGTACATTTTGGAATTCATTATCCACACTCATAAAGCTGCCCCTATTGGCACAAAGAAATTATAGAGGGGGCTCAAAAAATATCTGACACTATCCAACCAAATATACTATAGTAAGAAATATCACAAAAACACAAACCTACAGAAATATGATTCATCCCAGGTGCAACCAACACAAAATCATTATCCATCCATAAAACGCCATACCTACCCCCCCCGCACCCCCGAACCCCACCCACCTCCCGCCCCCGCCCCGTCCCCCACACAGCCCCCATATATAGTTTTGTCTTTTTTCTTCCAACAGCTACCTCTTGGCGGTTTGGAAATTTATTTTTTCTCTGTTGTAATAGAGGTGTAATACATCTTCTTTATCAGCATCTTCACTCCCTATATAATAGAATGGGCACAAAGTCGATATTGTGGAAAAGGTTTATTCAAATCATTAGCTTAACTTGAATGGTATGAATATTTTTATACAAGGTGTATAAATGTCCACCAAATAAATTGGGTTGAATGTGCTGTACCAGATGCGTTAAAGTATGATCCATCTAAGTGTTTATGCCGATTTGTGTTTTAGCTAAGTATTAGAAAGCTCACTATTATGATATTGATTTGTTCTAATGATGATACAAGTTCTTTGCGATAAAAAGAGAACTTTTTTTCTTTCTTGTATGGCTGTGTTCAATATTATTGATATGTAGGGCTTAATAATTGTAATAAAGGCTTTAAGGAAAGGATTATTCAGCTAATAATCACAATGAGCTTTGAAAAATCTTTGTGTAATATGGTCGATAAGGTAATAAGAGAAATAGAGCGCTTTCATAATAGAATAGTGTAGAGATAGAGATATAAAAATAATAAATTATTTTAAAGTGCCCGAGGCGAGACTTTGAACTCGCACAACCCGTTTGCGGGTTACAGGATTTTAAGTCTGCGTGTCTAACCAATTTTTTTTTGCTCACCACCCGGGCATGTTTTTTTTTAAAATTTTTGAGCGGGGAAGACGAGATTCGAACTCGCGCACCCTCACCTTGGTTGCAAGGTGATTGTTCTACCCAGCTGGAAGCTACTTCCGCATTTTATATCCTTTATTTTTTTTCCCTAATCCAAAAGTTTTATAAATAGGGTTATATAATGTATGTGAAGGCAACATTTACTTGTGGTTTTCCTTTATAACGAAAAGTTATATAAAGCATACAATAAACCTCCTAAAAGTGTGATGAGCCATCACATATACCTTTTAAATAAAAACAAAACCTTGAATAACTTACCCCAATTGTTAAATTTTCTTCTTGATGTTTGAGTATTAGAGGGAAATTGTTTAAAGACATAAAAATTTCTTTAACAATTAAAAGCAATAATTTGTATCATTTTGTGGTTGTTTCTTCTGCACTTGTAGGTGCCCCCCGCTTGAGGATTCAGTGCGTGGTGTTTCCTCCATTGGTGGATTATTAGCAAGGGCTTCATTTGCTTGCTGTATTTTTTGCTTTTTCTGCACGATATGAGAAATCCCAAGCAATTTTTTGAGCTTCTTTTGTTTTATTTTTTGCTTTTTCTGCCCCAACGTGATTTGAGAATATTCTCTTCATGTTGCTTTTTCCAATCAGCAAATTTTTCTAATGCTGTTGTCCTCTCAAACAAACCTAATTTCACACCCCGCAATATACATTGCTTGAAGTATAAAATCTTTGTAAGATTAAAATGCGCTTCACTGTTTCTAGTAGGTTGAGCTCCTTTTATCCAACCAAGACAATGCTTTGCTTTACTTGTCTTTCATTAATTTGAACAGTTTGCATTAGAATTGTAATGGGATTGTATGTTCCTAATTTTTTCTATGAATTTCCCATCTCTTGGAGCTTGAGCTGTTAGCAACAAAATAAATAAAGAAAAAAAGGTCTTTTTTTAGCTCCGTGTCTTTGGTAATCTAATTTTTAAAAAACTGGCATCTTAAATAGAAATTTATAATGCAAAAATATTTTTTTAA